TTCTTTTTTTTAAAAAAAAGCTTCGGAGATTAAAACAAAATGCAAAAATGTCTACTTTATAGTCAAGCTTTCAGTGTTGGGACTGTTGTACAGTTTGTATTTGCGTTACAGGCTGAATCTTAAAATTTGATTCCTCTTCACACTGATGGTGATAGATGAGAAAGTTCTCTGGAAAGAGAAACTAAATCCTCAGTGAGCATGCAGTGCTATCAAGTGTATTAAAAGCCCTCAATTTCTTTGTAATTTATGCCTGGCTGTGACATGGCTCGAAAGCAATCTGTCAAAATGACACGATGTGTGATGGTGTTTTGGAGAGATGTGCTGCTCAGTGTGGATTACAGAGCGGGAGGTGACCCAGATCAAAAGAGGAAAAATACACATGCTCAATGCATACATGTTGTTCTTGTGAGGTCATCTTTTACCCCAACCTTCATAAACCTGTGGTTTTTGCTCCTGCCACATTTTTTTCTTTTGCTCACTGTTCATTTTTCAGTCTTACACTTCTATGGAAGCATCACAACCATGACCAGAAGTAGCAAGAACTCAAATGTCTTACATGCACATTTATAACGCCTTAAATTGTAGATAAATAAATAAATAAATATAGATAAACATTTATTTTCTTTGATTATTTATGTCACAAAAATTAAAAAACTTGGATTCAACATGTCCAGTATTTTTTCAGGTGTTATTAAAAGTTGAAAAAAGATCATTTCATGCTATTAATATTTTACTACCTCCACTAATTAGGTGTTTTCATTCTACTCTGCAGATCAACTTTAGAAAGCTGTATCACCATGCTGAATGTATCCCACAAACACAGCCTGACAATGTTCTTTTCTGTCGACTGTTTTTGAAACATTCTGCATTTATTTTATTGACCAAATGTGTTTTATTTTGGCCTCAGTCTGTCTAGTTTTTGTTTACACAGCCTGCAGTTCAGCCAGATAGTCCCTGGACACTTGAATCTGGTGCAAATGCTTAATTCTTGGGGAATGTTTTGAATGACACGTCAAGAATAAAGTGATTTTGTCGAAAAATTGTAGTTTTAAGCTTAGATGTGGTTAATTTTACATTAAAATTCTAGTTGATGGATGAGTAATTTCGGGGCTGTCAGAAAGTTGGAAATTTGACATATCTTTCAATTTTTTAAGTTTGTGGCTCTGATATATGGTGTTGAGTGTTTAAAAGGTGGCTGTGGCTCAGGTGGTAGAGAGGTTGTCTTCTGATTGCAAGGTTGGCGGTTCGATCCCCTGCCCCTCCACAGTCGAAGTACCCTTGGGCAAGAACCCGAAGTTGCTGGTGTATGAATGTGTGTGTGAATGAGTGAGAATGTGTGTGAACAGTGTAACGCGCTTTGAGTGAGGTAGAAAAGTGCAATATAAGTGCAGTCCATTTACCAAAGGGTTAAACCTCAAACCGCTCTTTGATATTGTGAGGACTGGATAAAGTGTCCTCTCTAAGATGGTTTCTAATTTAAAACTGGTGCCTCCACACTCACCACACATGGACATGTAACCAACAGAACAGATGTGAACACAAACATTCTGCAGACACACATTTGTAGCCTGCAGACCTGTGACCAAACACGCTCAGTGCTTTCACAACTCCAGTTAACACAGACAAATATCAAAAGGCTAAACTGGCCCCAGAGGTGATGACAAAATCTGAGGAAGATAAATCGTGTTCCAGATGAAGCTCAGAGAGGACCAGCTGTCTGTTGCTCTCTTTTTCTGTCTGTCAGCAGAGCTAAAAGCTGTCGTTCACTGAGCTCATAGCCTGACCTTATGCAATATTTCTCACCTCTACTATTGACTGTTCGTCTTTCTTCCCTAACTAGCTTCTTGTACAGTCTGAAGCCTGAAATGGAACGTGGTGTGGGGGAAGTATTTGAATCCTTTATTCATGTAAAAGCAGCAAAAACAGATTGAAAAGAATGTAAATGTTCCCCAAAGATGATATACAGAAATATTGTCGGTGGACTTTGCATCCTTTCATCCATTTTCTTCCACTAATCCAGGGTCAGGTAACGGTGGCAGGAGGCTTAGCAGGGAATTCCAGACATCCTTCTGTCCAACAATGTCTTCCAGCTTCTCCTGGGGAATCCAGAGTTGTGGACAGATGAGATATGAAATCCCTCCAGTGGTTACTGGTTTTGCCCTGAGGTCTCATTCCAGTTGGACATGGCCAGAAAACCTCCAAAGCAATGCCCAAGGACGCATTTGATCAGATGCCTGATTGCCTCAGCCGGTTTCTTTCCTTCTGGCAAACAGAGGTGGTTGAACATTTAAATCCTACAAATAGTGTTTTATACAATGTTCCATCTGAAATGCTCATAGATGTTTAGAGATTTTAAATTATCTTCTATAAACAGTTGATTTAGAAAACTGCTTTTCTGGTGCATCTAGACAGATGGATGGATCTAGACCTGTCACTGTAGGATCTGTATATCATGTCTTGAACAGTTTGTGGGCATCAAAGGTACTGAACTCAAATGGTTAATGTCATATCTGACAGGTAGGAGCTTCTTGATTCACTCATGAGGTTCCTCAAGGCTCCATTTCAGGCCTAGTAAGCTTTTCATTGTATATGTTGCTTTTGGATTCATTTTTAAGAAATACAGAATTCCTTTTTATGGTTTTAAGATGATTTCTTGCCCAGATAAAAAGTAAAGATTTGAGACTTGATGTCTCAAAGATATTAAGAACTCAATGAATCCAAACGTTCTTAGTCTTAATGAAAATACAACTGAGATAATTGTGTTTAGTTGACTTGGCTTTCGGACAGACCTGATAACTCTCTTGGCCCAAGATTTTATTGTTTGCATTTAAAGTTTTCAATTGGTGTACGCCACCTTTTCTAACCTTCTTACTCCAGTTAGAGCACTGAGATCAACTAACCATCCATCCATCCATCCATCCATCATCTATACACTGCTTAATCCTCACTAGGGTCATGGGGGGCTGGAGTCTATCCCAGCTGACTCAGGGTGAAGGCAGGGGACACCCTGGGCAGGTCACCAGTCTATCACAGGGCTACACTTAGAGACAGACAACCAAGCACACTCACATTCACACCTACGGACAATTTAGAATCACCAATTAACCTCAGTATGTTTTTGGACAGTGGGAGGAAGCTGGACAGCACAAAAACAAGCCATGAAGTGATGCACAAGTACCTCAGATTGTAGAAGCTTATAATACTTGACTAAATTCAGTTACTTTACACAAACAGAGAACCCTGACAGGGTTTTGCTGCAGTGATATTTCTGTTTTTAGACGGATGTTTAGTTAGACCAGTCTAAAATGTGGTCTTAGGTCAGTCTAATGCAAGTTAGACTTCCACACTCAAATATTTCAAAACTTACAAATTGAACCACCTCACCTGCAGGCTAACGCTGAACTGAGACCATGTTTCAAAGGTAACACCAACTGATAAAAAGCTTTAAATGTGGCTCATTATTTGCAGTTTTTTCATAATATTATAGAGCGAACAATGAGTGAAGGTATTTTTTGAGACCTTTATAGCCCCACTTTTCTTGCTGGCCTTGTACCAATTGATGTTTTATAGCTGCATTGTGTTTTTTTTCTGAATTTTCCCAATAAACTATTCTGCTAAATTCTTCAGGAGACAGAAATTTTCTGCTGGAATGATGGGAGATGAGCTGACTGATTTGATGCAGTTATTCAGTAATCTTTTTTTCCCCTAAGTCTAACCCTTTGAACCCAAAAACCTGTGGGTAGGTCTAAAATGAATGTTTTATTTTTGTTTGTTTGTTTTTTTAAACATAAAAACGAGAAGACACATTAGATTTTTTTATATAGTCACTGAACAACTTGTGACGTGTCGTTTGGTTGAAAAAATGTACCCAAATCTAAGCTTTAAATCATGAAATTTCAATTAATTAACTTTATTCTACATGTCTCATCAATTTAAAATTTGCCAAGAATAAACAATTCGCATTAACCAGAGTCTGTACACAGAAAAACATTCGGCACTCACTGGCATAATGAGAAGTCCTTTGTGTCTCAGCTGCAACGAAATTACAAAAAATCGGACATTTTTTAAAATTTACTCTTATTTTACAGATTTTACCTGTTTTATTAAATTACAGATAATTTGCGAAGTCAGAGAAAATAAGTATTTACCAACATGTTAAACAATAAATAAAAAGATAAATAAATAAAACAGGCCCAAACTGTCTTTTTTTTTTCTTTCACCGGTTAATTTGACTTTTGTTCTTGTTGTATTTAATTCAGCAACATATCTTATTTTGTAGATATTTAACGTTATTTAAAAGAAAAATGATGCATATTTAGGATTTTAAAATGTTAATAAATTCTTCATACTGTTATTTTACTGATCTTCATTGTTTTGTTAAAGCACAAATAATATCAAGTAAAATCATAGGGGGGAAAAAGGTATTGTTTTGCATCTTAACTGTAAAAAAAAAAAAAAAAAAAACAGGGTCAAACTGTGCACATCAAAAAAACAACAAAAAAAAGCTTAAGTCAGTCTGTGATACAAAACCTGTCCTCAAACTTTCAAAAAGCACCAAATGGAAAGCCAACAACCAGCTTTCTGTCACACTGACTTCATGCTGTGTGCTTAAGGCCATTTAATCAGCTGCTTCCCCACATGACTCCTCTCTGCTGGCCGCTGCCTCCCACTGACCCTGTTATGTCACGCTGGTATTTCTGACTTATCGTCTCCCTGTCGACCTTCAGACGATGATGGATCACTCTGTGCTCATACTGTTGTGGTGTTAGACGCACATTCAATGTCATCAAATAAGTCTTGTCCTTTTTAGCCTTTATGTTCTGATTTTTACCGCTGAAGGTGTCTGTTACATAACAGAGAACTCATGTTTCAAAGGCCTCAGGTCTGTTTCTAAAGCTAATAAAAGTACAATATTGTAATAAATGCATTCCATAAAATTTAACTTTGTTTGTGATGTCTTGCAAGTGTTCATAATTGTGAAAAACAAAAAATGCCACACATCCTTTGAAAGGATTTATTGCCTCTTTCTCATTAAATTGATCATAAATCAAAGGTGTTAGTCTGGTGATTTTACAGCAAGAGTGGAATGAGTGAGGAATGGGAGACATGTTTTTTCCCCAAAGTTTAGCCAGCAGTGCGAGCAATGTAAACACAACACACATGTCAACGAATCATATCAATCAGCCCTATATCTTAATGCCAATTTAAATACAGTTCATGTGATTTGATCACAGCAAATCTTTAAAAATAAAATAAAATCTATGCAAATTAATTCACAGTCAAAACAGCTTTATATGTCAAAGGTCCTGTAAACACAATCTTAATTCACAACCAGCCAAAGATGAAACATTTCATTTGCTGCCATTAAGACATTCATGAGCAAACACAATCATTTAGCTTTTCCTGCCGTCAGCGCTGAGACTTGAAGCTCTCACAGCATCACTTCGATAAGGGAGCAGTTTTTAATTTTCCAGGCCACAAGAGGATTAGCACATCGTTTACTCGGCATTATGGGGATTTGAAGAAACAGGTTGGCATTTGGGGTTAATTTAACACAATATACAAGTGAGCTTTACAGGTGTTTCCCCCTGTAACCAGCATTTATGCTAAGCTAAGCTAAGCAAAGCTAAGCTAACTAGCTGCTGACTCCAGTTTGTTTAAAGCACACATGTGAATGATTATCGATCTTCTTAGCTAGACAGTGAAGAAGCACAGTTCCCAAATTGTTCCTTTTTAAATTCCAAATGCTCTCCTCAGATTGTCAAACTGAACGCGGTACATTCCTCCAGAGTTCACCACAGGACTGTCTGTGCATTTAAACTGCAGCTCCCTAAACATTTTTCCAAAGAAAAAAAAAGTCCTCATGGTCCTTTCACAAACACGAAAAAGCAGGAAACTCAATTTGTACCCCGTCTGTTTTGTCATGACCATTCATTTGAGAGGGACTGTTTGGGAGATGCAGCAGCTCCCTCAACATTAAACTTTAAATGTGGGTGACAATAATTGCAAACTGCATATTTAATGCATAAAGTGCAGCTATGCAGAGTGTACGACCTGCCTTTTCTACGAGGATGTAATAAAAAAAAAACAAAAAAAAAAAAACATTTCTTTCAGGGTAAAATAGGACGTTCTGATAATGAGTCCTACATCTCGCTGATCTGCTTCGTCTCATTTCAGCTGGACTATGAAGTGGGTAAATTAACTACAAGTTTCTAGAGAAGGTCAAAAAAATTGATTGGGGTGAATTATTTAAGTGGTTTCAATTTACTGCCAGCAGACAAACGGCAGCGACTGAGCAGAAAGACATTTAATTCTTTTTAGCTTTTTCTAAAAATGCAAATAAATGACAGCAAAGAATCCATGTCTGGATTTGGCTACTGATTTCAGTATTGCCACAACAACAACAACAAAAAAGTACCCAGTAGTAAACAATAACACATGACTTTAAATTGTAAACAGAAATTTTCAAGATTTAAGCAGTGTGACTGCACCTCGTATATATGTTACCTATAGTATCTCATCCAGCTTTAAGTGACTCCTGTGATAATCTGATAAAGGTCATTTAAGCAGATTTGAGATAACATCATTTTACTGCCACTTGCTTATAAACTGCATCCATAAATGGATCTACATTATGAATTTGGCATCAAATTGCACATTAGATACTTAGTTCATTTGAAAAATCTTATTTTTCTTAGAGGAAAACAATTCTTCCTTATGACATTATGTGTCACAAAATGTTCTTTCCTTTACATATTTCTATTCTAATCAGTTTAACCACTGCTGTAATCTCAAATTCATTCATCCAATAAGGCTGTCTGACAAAAAAAATTACATCAAGCGCCAATCCTAGAACATTATAAAATGGTCTCAATTTCCTTCCTTTAACATGTGTTGAGCAGCTTTGTAGCAAATTTCACAGCAGGTTGCAGAAAGCAGCTGTGTCTCGTTGAGGTGTAGTAGTCTGCTGTGCCTGCAGGGGGAGCTGCTGCAGAGACAAAAAAATAAATAAATACACTCCAGATCAAAGGTGAAGCTCTGCTCAGAGGGCCACCTGCTGGGGAGGCGATGCAGACACACAGAGGAGGAACACTTGCTACTCAGGACGTCACACATAGCCCTTAAATATTATTGGAAATGGCTCATATCACGTTGATGGCTTTAGCTCGTTAATGCTTCGTCTCCTATCGGGGATATTGGACAGAAATCAAACTCTCTGTGAGTGAAATGACTCTACAGCTCTGTGGTGTTTCTGCTGTGGGACCAGTGTGTGGGAGTTACTCTCAGCGTGATGCACAGGAAGCGACGGACACAGATGCAGGTGAGATGACAAATCACAACCGACGTGAACGCGCCGCCGCCGACTCAAAACTGGATCCAGTTGGTGGTGTTCTGTGGCCGCGATGGAGGCGGAACGGAGCTGGAGACAGAAACTTATGTTAGCAGTGTTCTTGTAACATATAAGTTAGAAACCCTCTGAACCCCAAGCAGTTTCTGGGTGTTTTTTGTTCCCATCACACTTTTACTCAATGTGGGCTCATTTTTTTTTACTGAAATTTCAAGTCCTGCACCTCTATGGAAACAGAAGAACCACGGATAGAAGTCCAGAAAGCTCAGAAATGTCTTGTGCACTATGACACAGTTATGCCATATTTTTTTAAAAGGCAAAATTTCCTTATTTATTGTACAAAAATTGAAAAAGATAACAAAAAATGCTGAATGTTACAGCTGGGTGACTCATGTCTTGACAGTTGTGCTAAAGAGTATATAATTTAGTTTTTTTTTTTTTTTAATTTTTACAGAATCTAGTTAGAGCCAATGGCCTTTTGTTTTGTATGAAAAAAAAGAGATTTTGATGAAATATCACCATTTTAAGCTTGGATTTGGTTAGTTTCTCCAACTGAACAGCATGGACAGTCAGAAAGTTGAAAATCCAATGACTTTTTAGAGCAATTTCTGGTTTACAAATTGTGTCATTTTAGCATAAAATAACAAACAAACAAACAAACAAAAAAACACACCTTTCAAACCCACCAGCTTTGAAGTTCAGAGGGTTAAAGGAGATGTCCAAAGTTTTCCTTCAACCGAAATAACATAATTTACAAATTGTACAACATTTCTACTGACTTAATCTTTTTCTAACCATAACTAACTATGAAAAAACATACTAAAGTGTAACAACTACACAAATACCATAAAAAAAAACAAATTTTTACTTAACTTTCTTGTATGTACAGTGTTGTGCCTAGTGTAAAATAATACTACGTGTAATACTCACTCAACTGAACAATGCAGTTTAATCGAAAACATTTTACACACAGTCACAAGCGCGTTTACAGTATAAAGCCAAAAGTATGTGGACACTCACACTACCCCTCACGCTCTACAACCATTTTAAATCCCTTTTTTTTAAAGCGTTGTCTGTTTTACAGGTGTGTCTCAATCCTCTTAATTATTAATACACCTGTATTTTTCATTTTAATTTATTAACTGTGTTTGCAATTTTTCTGCAGAGAATTTTATTCAGTGTGGAGGGACTTGAAGGGCCGGCAAAGAACCAAAACCTCAACCCCATCCAACACCTTTCAGATGAAACTGTGAACTCTGCCTCATCACACAACATCAGTGGAAGCTTTTAATTATGCAAACACGTCTGCTCGCATCGTAGTTCCTCCCAGTGAGGATGTGAAAAGTGGAACACGCACACCAATCAGTTTTAATGTTTGCTTTTTTTAAAAACTAATTTCACTGAATTTTTTCTTTTTATATTTCAGATTTTTGTCTGTATTTTTGAAATGCATAAAATGCATGCACATGTCTAATGTAAAACAGCATAAAGATTTTGTAACTGAAAATAACCATAACATTAAAATACATCTGCAAGTCTACGTAATGATAAAACATCTTTGTTATTTATTAAAGCTAATGTCATTGTTTTTACTAGTAAATATCCAAATATACAAACATCAAACAGCCAAAACAATCACATGATATCATTTAACAATACACCTAGAAAATGTGTGTTAATTATGGAAAAAGTACTGCATTTTATTGGCATTGTACTTTTTTTTCAGCTGCTGAAATATTACTGGGTTGTTGTTGTTTTTTTGTTTGTATTTTTTTTTTTTTTTTTTTACAGTGCATGCGTTTCCTTGCTGATTTTTCTTGGTGCATTTGAGTGTTTGGAAGATCCTTCATGATAGCAGAGAAGATATTACAGGAGAAAAGAATGCAAGAAAGCTTCAGTTAGTATAATGAAAAGCAGCCAGTGTTGGACCTGTGGCTGATTAAGAGAAAATCCCAGCAGTCTGGATCCAGAACCTTAAGTAAAGCCGTACTTGAGTCACATTGTAATTGTGCGTCCACATACCTTTGGCTACTTTCAGCAGGTGTATTATAAAGTAGTTTCCTACCTTGCAGGAGCAGAGAAATCTCCCCAAAGATCTGAACTAGGGTTGGACTGAAGCACTGTGTTAGAGTTACTACTGTCCAGCTCCAGCAGGCAGCCTGACACACAAGAACAACACAGAGCTCATTGATTGCAGCTCACGAGCTGACACACATTTCACTCATTTTCTGCAGCCTGGAGCTCAGACGAGTCATTTAACAGCCACTAATTAACACAGCGACAATGAAATTAGGTCACTCCAGTCGGTTAAAGCTGCACGAGGCGAGATTCTCGTATAAATTACAGTCGCATTAGCCTGAAACGCTAAGTGAGGACAAAACAGGAGAACATCGCTCCTCTCAAACTGCAGTTCAATTAGTTTAATTTGCTTCCATTAAATCCTCAGGTTGACTGAGTTACTGATGCAGACAAGGTGGATATTGCAGCATTAAATGAGGTGAAAAGAGCTCTACCTGTTGCTGTGCCGCCTGTCTGCGGGACTATGTTGTGATTGGATGAGCCTGATGAAGGGGGAGGAGCTATCTTGCCTCCAGGTGGCGGTGGGAGGAGTCCAAACCCAGCTGCGCCTTGAGAGCGGGGCTTATCCCTCTTTTTACCTTGCTGAAGAGGGATTAAATAAAAGTTAAGACAACAGAAAAATGTGTTTTGGGACATTTATGTCTTTTACATTTCTGCTTTAAATATTTAGAACAACCCATTTTAATCAAGTTATTTGAAATTCAAACTCACACATGCTAATCGCAGGCTAACTCAGCTATAACCTCTGATTAAAATACCTTCACCCTCAGCTGTCTCGGAGTATTTAGAGCACATTTTGACAGTTTGGGAAAAACTTGATGTTTTTGTGTTGTCAAACTTTTCTCACCCCTATGTTGAGTGTGATGGTCTGTCCCTCCTTAAAGCCCAAGTCCAGCTTTGGTCCTGAATCTCCAAGCTGAGCGCTTTTACTGAGTTCATTCTCCTGCTTCACCCATCTGCAGGGACACATACACACAACATCAGCACTGATACAGGAATAAACAATGCAGCTCAGCAGTTCTCAGGACAACTACAGCAAGCAGCTTTCTGCAAGCCAATAAAAAAAAAAAAACAACATCTCGGTACAGAATGATTGTGCAGTGACTGTAAACAAGACGAGTCAATACTCGGTGCAAGTAATTACTGACAGCCAGCAAGTTTAATATGGGAGACATTAACATCCTGTCGGATCCCTGAAAACTGGAAAATGAGCCTGGGAGGAAAAAGCCCAGCATGTAATCTTTTTCAACAAAGATTTATTTAACCCTCTGGACTCAAAGCAGTTTCCGAGTGTTTTCTTTGCTCCTCTCACATTTTTACTCACTATGGGCTCATTTTTCACTGCACCATAAAATCCTGCACCTCTATGGAAACAGCACAACCATGACTAGATGTAAAAAGAACTCAAAAATATCTTCTGCGTGGTATGACACAGTTATAAAGCCAGAAATCTTTTTTCCCCCCTTTTTTTTTTAATGAATGCAGAATGTTTTCCAACTTATTTTACACATTAAAAAAACAACAACAACAACAACAACAACAAAAACTTGGAATCAACATGTAAAATATTTTTCCAAGTGCCTACAGGTGTTATCAAAACTGAAAAAAATAGTGTCTCCTTATACCATAGACACTGTAATACTTACATTTTTAATTTGTTTCCATACTCTGCTCTGTGTAAACACAGCCTGCAGTCCAGCTGAGAAGTCTCTAAATCTTTGTTATGTGATTGTTGGTTTCAGCTGAATAACTAAATGGATTTATTTATTTATTTTTTTTTTTTACAGTTTGGTGAGTGCAAAGAGAGTTTTTTGGGACAAATTTTTAAATGAGACATTTTGAAATATCAACTCAGATGTATTTAAGTTCCCTGACAGAACAGCTTGTGAGTAAAAGGACTGTTGTAAGTTGAAAATCCTATGATTCTGCCTCTTTTTACAGTTTTTGGAGTCAACTTGGGGATTTTTTTTTTTAAGGACCATTTTCCTTACAAACCTGCTGGTGGATTTTGGGGTTCAGAGGGCTTAGTGTCAGAGACTTAATTGGATATTTAACTAATCATAGTAATTGAATGAAGCATGAAGTGATTTGCAGACAACACTTGAGTGCAATCCCCAGCCAGTACCTTCTTTTCCAAGAGGAGAAAGTATTTATCATTTTACACCAAAACCACCTCATCACTACGTACTTGAAATGATCCTGCAAAGCCACGTTAAAGTCGAACGCGTCCCCTCGGTCCCCAAAGCCAACGCCGATGAAAGCACTGCGACCTGCAGGCAAGACAAGAGGATGACTTTAGGGTCTTCATAAAGGCAAGATTAATAATTAGTTTTGACTCATGGGAATTAAAAAATTAACTGGAGACATTATGATCCCACCGTTATCATCCTGTATCCTCAGAACAAAGTATCGGCTGGAATCGCTGACGGTTTCCACGGCGACGCCGGGATATTCTTTGACTGGTGCCTGGGCAAACAGCTCCCCTATAGGATGACAGGGCAAGTGAAACACAGGGAACCATGAGCAAAAACAATGAACAAAGCACCACTTCATACCTTCCATTTTTAGTTTAGATGGGTTGGGTTGTCTATTTAGGATGAAGCTCTGTGTGTTCAACTCCTGTTGCTTCTGAATGTGTTTTATAAATAGGTTTGACTTTGACATTCTTAATCAGTTTTACAAGAAAAATATCACTTACTTTAACCCTCTAAACCCTGCAGGTTTAAAGATAACCTGCCTTTCAACAAATTACCAAAATTACACCATTCATCAGCCAGAAACTGTAAAAACAGAAATAATTATTGACATTTTCAATTTTCTGGAAGGCCTCGAACTACCCATGTACAACATGCAGTGGTCAACAAACTAAATCAAACGGAGCTTCAAATGATGAATTTCATCAAAATCTCTGTATTCTACATGTCACATTTAAAATTAACCAAAAACAAACCATTTGCACTAAAGAGATTCTGAAAAAGACAAGAAATGTTCTCTCTGTGACTTTTTGAGACTTTTTGGCTGAACTGCAGGTTATGTTTAGAAGATCAGAAGCAATTATGGAAAGAAATAAAAATGTAAGTGGTGAAATAAAACAAAAGTTTCCAAAGAGGTGCAGGACTTAATCTTAGAATGGGAAATGAACCCACAGTGAAGAAAATTACCCAGAAACCATTTGGAATTAATGGTATTCAGTATGAAAACCAGTAACGTCCTACCTGAGACTTTGTCCTCCAATTTGATGAACGCCACTTTGCCTTTCGCTGTGATCCTCATTCGACCAGACCAGTCAGGAGCATCCAGCTTCCAGTCAGCTGCCCTGCAGAGACGAGTCAACATTTGTCAATGAACAATTTGTTACCCTAATTTCATTTTAAATGTCAGTTATTTCCTCTATTAATTGTTTGGTCTCTGAAGTGTTGGTGAAAGTTCATAAAACCCAAATAGATGTCTTCAAATAGCCTGTTTTGTCCAACCAACAGTCCAAAGATGATCAACCTATCATCACACAGGATTAAAAAAAAAAATTAAAAATTAAAAATGCTCAGAGCTGAAAATTCAAACTCAAACCCATTTTTCCTTGGGCTCTTTAAAATATTGGTGCCATTATGCAAACGGTGCCCTCAAGAGCGTTGACAAAAAGTCAAAATCCAGGGCAGCTGTTGTCACCATCTAAATTATTCATTTTGGGGATGATTATTATTATCATTTATTTATTTTTGTCTTTTTTTTTTTCTTTGATTTTCAGCTTTATATGTATGATTTCTGGCTCAATTGTGACAAAACAAGTCATTTAAAGACGTCTTATTGGGATCCTGCAAACACCAATTAACATTTTTCAACATTTTAGAGAACAAATTCATGGATTTACTGAACTTTACTGTCAGCTGCAGCCAAAATCTCAGCTGTTGTCTACTATTTATTTAATATTCATATATTCCTAAATAAAATCTAAATTCTCTGGGTTCAGCTTTTTGAATGTGAGTATTTTCTATTATTTTGGCTCATCTGTGACAAAACAAGTCATTTAAAGACATCTTACTGGGATCTCGGAAACACCAATTGACATTTTTCAACATTTCAGAGACCAAATTAATGGATTTTTTGAAAATAACTCTTATTGCAGCCCTGATCTCAGCTTTTGCCAACTATTAAATTAATAATAATCGTTTCCTTTAAAAAATAAAATAAACAATTGTCCGGTTTCAGCTTCTTGAATGAGGGTATTTTCTATTATTTTGACTCCTCTGTGATTAACAAGTCATTTGAGGACGTCGTGCTGGCTTTCATGAAACACTAATGGACGTTTTCCAACATTTTTCAGACCAAACTAATCGAGTTAAAGTCGGTAACGGTCAGTCGCAGCCCTCATCTCGGTGTCCCCCAGCAGAGGGGGGGACTCCGGTCCTGGCTCGTCGCCCGTACCGACCCGGAGCGATGACAAACCTCCCGGTCATCCCTCTGCCAGCGGAGACACACGGAGTCGTTAACCGGCTCGTTAGAACCGCTGGACGCACCGTCCGCCTCCCTCTCCGGTACAACACTGAAGCCAGCGGTCTGAAGACAGTCACTCACCGGGCGGACAGACTCACCGGCACCGAGCGTCACCGAGCCGCGGTACACCGCATTTAACGGCACCGTGAGCGGAACCGGCAGGTGTTTGTTTACCTGTATGCCCGGTTTGAAGCTCGTGGCGGGATGCGGTAGACGTTGACATCGGGTTTAACGCACAGGATGGACTCGTACTCTCCCTCGGCCGCCATCTTGATCCGACTGTTATTGATGTGGGAGTTGTGACTCATTTATTCGCTTCCAGGGGCGTCAGTAGGGCTGAACACACCGGGGGGCTCCACCGTTTAATAACCTCACAACTGCACCAAATTCAAGTTAAATGAATGTAATATACTATATATTCCCAGCTCACATTAACATCACAGTGAGGGCAGGGTGCCTGTGTGTCTTTGAACTTGTCTTATTCATAACCATTTACAGCTTAAATAGCCTACTTGTTTTCATACATTTTATTTAATAGTCATTTGGGAGACAGACCCTTTAAATAATCCAAGATAGAGTGCTGGTAAAAAAGAGAAAGTTCACCCATAAAATACATAATAAATGATAACCAGAACACAAGCTACAGTAGTTTACAATAAAACAATAAAAGGTGTTTTCATTGATACTGAGCTATCTGTTGGCGTATTTTGTCAAATATTTTGATAATCAGACAGACCCTGCTCTATATGTAACCCTAACCCTGCAAAAACAGACAAATCTGTGTGATTAAACACTCAGCAAAAACTGTTTTGACTTTACTGAACAGATCCAGCTTCTAGAAACAGTAAAATAACATTTTAGATCAACAATGTTATATTGTTTTCAAAGGCTCTAACTCATTGTTAGGTGGCAGCTGTCGCTCAGGTGGTAGAGCGGTTGTCCTCTGATCGCGAGGTTGGCAGTTTGTTCCCCGGCCCCTCCTCAGCTGAAGTGTCCTTGGGCAAGACACTGAACCCGAAGTTGGTCCCAATGGCAGGCAGCACCTTCCATGGTAGCTGTCGCCTTGGTGTATGAATGTGTGTGTGAATGGGTGAATGAGAAAGCATTGTTGAGTACCCCTAAGATAGAAAAGCGCTATATAAGTGCAGACCATTTACCTTTTACCATTGTCAGAATGACAGGTGAGTTTGAACTCTACAATTCTACAATTTCATTTAGCGGACGCTTTTATCCAAAGCAACGTACATCTTTGAACTCAACTGGGAAACAAACAAACAAAAAAAAGCGAGAGATCGAGGGTATTCAGAAAATATTAGTTTCTTTATATTGGGGCTAACAATGTCACTGTTCGGTGCTTTTCTTAGGAAGGCTTTTGTGTACCAAAATGAGCCACAAAAAAAAATATGAATGGTACTTTACTCTCATGAAACTGTTTGAAATGTAGTATTGTAGAAAATCCTTTAAATCCTGAAATAAAAGACGCAGAACTGTTTTACACAAATTTGTCTGTTTCAGATCCTCTACCAGAGGCCTGAGAATTTGAGGATTCTGTTCAGTATCTGAGCTCGCTCCTGCAACACAGATGGAGGTCATCCCTGTACAGGAGGTCACTCATGGTTGAATCTATATCTGTTGCTTCTCTTTGAGATGATCTGACTGAGGGGATTCAGACCTTTGCAGAACCGCAGTGTCGACAAGGGTGGAACTGAACTCACAATACATTATGATCACTACAAATGTAGTACTACCAGCTGTCGCTATGATACCACTGTATAAGATGATGCACATAATTGATCACAAATCTGAAATTCATGTCAACACAAAAATTCTATATTTATCTTTTTATGAAAAAAAGGGTTATTTTGAAGTGTAAAATATAACACCAGAATACCTCAAAACCCTTTCTCTTAATGTCTTCCACCAGTAAAATGATTTTGCGGCTATTTAAATATTAGCGAAGAAACTAACATCCAAAAAAGCCAACTGAAATAAATTGAATATGTTTATCTTGTGACCTCTGTAAGGCAGTTAACATTAGTCAACAATGAGTCTATATGATCATTTACTTTCATGAAATGTGCTTGAAATGTAATATTAAGGCACAAAATATTAGCTTTCTGCTACAATTTCAAAAACAATAGTCCAGAACTGTTTTACACAAATGGTAATTTAAGTTAACGACAAAAAAAGGAACAATAAACTAAAAGGTATTAAAAACAGCTATTACTAAGATGCACCTTCACACGTGATTATAGCTGTCAATCATTATGTATTAGACTAAATCCAATGAACATAGCTAGTTCACTGAAATAACATGAAAGGTCTGTGAAATAACAGTGCAGGTATCAGGTTAAAATTAACAAACTGCTGGACTGGGCTGAACCACCGGTGTGTAAAGATGTTAACGACACCTCTGGAGTTTGTGGTTTAGGATTTAGCAGGTCCAACAGCTTGCGTTGAACCTACATATTAACCCAGTGTATTTGATATGGTGTAAATGGTACTGTATTCCAAGGAAAGTGCTTTTAATTCAATATTAAGTTTGTGTCTTGATTTTAAGAATGAAAGGGGTACAATTGTTTCAAACAGTTGGTGATCTAAGGGAAAAGCAAAAAAAAAAAAAAAAGTAAATAAATAAGAGAGAGGGGGCGTGGCCTGACAGGTGCCGTAAACTGCGGAAGCGGAAACGCAGCGTCGTGTCGTCTCCCCTCCTCGAAGATTCCTGAATATCTGCTCATGGTTAGTGCTTTATTTTTGCTTTACACGCGCACCTTTTATGCACGAAGTAACGTGAACTCAGCGGGTGTCGTTTCGAACGAAACACAGCGGCAGTTTATTGGAATAAAGCTGCTCCTTCGGTCTGTCAAGTCGGCTGTTAAGCTGGTTCTCGCTGGCTTGACAGCAGCGGAGCCTGGCCGCTAGCCATGTTGACGGCTGCTGGCCGTCTCCAGTCGCTCTCCGAGGTGCTGAAAAGACGCAGGCAGACACGATAAATACAAGAAAGACGACTCACAGTTGAGACAGCTCAGGTTGTTTATGCTGCTGCTTGAAAAATGAGGTTTTAGCTCTTATTTCCCAACATCAGCCTCAGGACGCTGTTGCTAACTAGCTTGTAGCTTAGCCTGATAGTTAGCTGACCGAGGTGAGAATGTGTTTGTCGCAGTGATTATGACAAAGTGACAGACAGAAGCTGTCACCTACAGCAGGTGCAGTTCAGCTTTGCAGTCACGCAGACATAATATTTGTTCGTTTCTTTATTCGTTGTAGTGACAAGAGGGAAATATCACTTCTTTTGTTGCACGTAGACCACAGTAGACCGGGTCAAACCTAAAACCACTATATATAAACTGGTCAAATCTGGACCAGATTGTCCCACAGAGGCTAAAGAGACGTTTAAACACAGGCAACTTTTTATTTATTTCTATTTTTATGCATATTTTATATATATTTGCGAAAGTCCAAAATAGAGAAATTTCACTGCTTGTTTTTGCATGTATATCACATTAGACCTGGTACACATATAAAGCCACAGTATGCATCCCGGTCAAATCTGGACCAGATCATGCCAAACAAACTAAAACTACTAAAACTCTAGAAAACACAGCTTCTGATTTGTGAAATATCTAATTGTGAAAGTGCAAATACAGAGATTTTACTGCTGTTTTTCACATCAAAATTACATTAGACATTCTCCACATCTAAAACCATACAGACAGGTCAAATCTTTTAAAAAAAAAAAAAAAATCCTCTTTTTTTTTTGCATGTATTTCACATTAGTCCTGGTTCATATTTCAACCACAATATATAGATTTGCCCAATCTGGACTACACTTTGCCAGACACTAAAAAAATCTTCACAACACCTTTATTCTTGTTGTAAAAGTGCAAAATGAAAGGGATTTCACTGCTGTTTTTCTCATGTCGACCAAATTAGATGTGGTCCAGGTCCAGGTGAAAAATCACTATATATCGACTGGTCAAATCTGCAGTACACTGTAGCTGCAACAAAAAGGGAGATTTTATTACCTTTTTCCCCCCACATAGACCACATTAGACCTGGTCCAGATCTACAATCACGATATCACGATATGTTGATTGTCAAATCTGGACTAGATTGTCCAACAGAGACAATAGAGTCTTTCAAAGACATTCTCTGACTTGTGAAGGAGGACAGTTTAGTCCAGACTCGACTTCAATGCATATGGGGGGTTCTGAGCTGGACTTGGTCTTATGTGGCCTTGAAAAAAGTATTTTAGCAAACAAAATAAAGGCTTAACAAATTTCAATTTGGGTTTAAAACAGCATGAATGGTTTACCCAAAATGCGTTGCACAGTTTTACATCATTAAAATATGGTTAGAAAGTCAGTCAGTTGTTGTTAGTTACTGAAAAGTCCTATTAACCATCCCCATAATGTACAAATTAGAAGTTGGCTTCAGCATAGGCCTTGTAGCTCAGCCACATATCTACCTAGGTGAGGATCTGTGTTTGTTGCAGCGATTATGACAAAGTGATGGATGAAAGCTGTCACCTACAGCAGGTGTAGTTCAGCTTTGTCTTTGTATTTGTCTGCTTGCCATTGTCCCGCAGTGCCAGCCATCACCTCAGCTCATTTTTTTTTTATGTTGACTGGCTCGTCCCCACAGCTGCAGGATCTGGTTTCTGACATCCTGAGACAAACCAATGCAGGCAGGAGGAAGAGAGGTCAGCAGGATGAATGCTAACTGAGCCAGCAGCTCATAAGCAGCAAAAAATTAGACTGTTACAGAGGCACATTTTTTTTAAAAGGCAGAGCTTTAGGGCTCCCAATAACAGCTTATTTTCCTTTCGAGTAATCTATCTACTAATTTCCCAGTTAGTTTATTAATCTAAACAATGAACATTTTTCTCCAAAAAAGGTCAATTACCCTTTTATTTTAGTTAATTTTCCTATGACTAACTGGATGTCATTGTATAATGCAGCACGGTACAAAGTAGAAACAGTACATATACATATTAAAGTGCAAAACTGAGTCAAACTGCAAACTCAGACATGATAAAAATAAATATAATAGAGGGCTCATTTTTTAGGTCAGTAGTTAACCTCCAAAGAAATCCAAGTTTCTGTTGAAGCCTGTAATAAGGTTTAGTCTGTATATTAAACAAACATGAACACAGTAGATATTTTACAAGCACAGAGCAGCTAAAATAGCTCTTTTTCTCATTATTGTGTCATTGTTCCTTGACTTTAGAAGTAGCTTTTAGGCCAGGGGTGTCGAAATGCGGTCCTCGAGGGCCCCAATCCTGCATGTTTTAGATGTTTCCCTCTTCCAACACACCTGATTCAAATGATCAGCTCATCATCAAGCTCTGCAGAAGTCTGATAACGATCCTGATCATTTGAATCAGGTGTGTTGGAAGAGGGAAACATCTAAAACATGCAGGATTGCGGCCCTCGAGGATCGGATGTCGACACCCCTGTTTTAGGCCATACCGTCTCACAAAAGCGTGACATGAATTCATGTGCATAGTGAAACCTGTAATCCTAGTGTGCTGCGTTTCAGTCACTATTTCGTTGTTACGCTGTCTGACAACTCAAACAGAAAAATACACAAATGAGAACAGCTTTATTGGGAATTCGGCCTTATTAATATACAGTGTATGTGAGCACAGAGAGCAGGAGAGAAGAACACGGATGTTAAGTGCCTCCTGTGTGTTTTCTCTCAAGTATTTGTGCTGCTTTGGTTTACCATCCAAATTCTGCAAACCACCTTTTTGTTATCTGATCATTTGAAGTACTCCCAGACTTTTGAAGCTTTCAGGCTTTTGAATCTTGAACACTGATCTGAATCAGACTTTGCTGCGGCCATCTTCTAAAACTGTAGCTGACCAATGACTAAAGGAAAAAACAGCTGATATCATGACAACCATTGCTCAGTGACACGAAGGAAGAACAACAATAAATCACGTTTAAAAATAAAAAATAATGTTGGTTATAATCTTGATGCAGATACATTTTCAGTGTCATGAATTACGCCAACTAATAGTGGCAGCTCTCAATATGTTGTTTGTTTTTGTCCAGTCTGTGTATCAACCCTTTGAGTATGCAGCAATGTTCATATGTTTTCTCCAAATTAGATCAGGGTGGTTTGATTCCCCACCTCCCCGCCAGACACCATGACGTCCTCTATGCTCCGCCGACAGCTGAAGAACCTGGTCCAGAACTACTCTGAGGCCGAGGTCAAGGTAAGAGGAACTAGATTTGAGTGCTTGGTGACTGTGTGAATCCTAATCATCCCAGTATCTCTGTCTGATATGACCTTAGCCAGTGACTTAAATATTTCGTTATTGTATTCTATGATATCCTTTCAAGATGGCATTTAAAGCATTTGTTTGTAAGAAAAGCAAAAATGGTTTGTGGATCATTTTCTACACATTTTATTGAACGGTGAATGTGTTGCATCATTATAAACATTAATACAATGACTGAAAAGGGTCAGATGAGTGGTGAGTTTAAAGATCAAGCAAAAGACAAACTGATGGTTCAATAATTCCACAACACTGAAACAGACTTATGTTACAGTGGGCTTTTGAGTTCTGAGGTTGAGGTTTGTTTGTTTTTTGAGTCAGTGGAAAATGGGGATCCTAAAATGCTGATCTGCTGAGACATGATCAATAATATCCAACTGATTACTTACCTTTTTTCAGTAGCACAATGAAAGGAGATGCTACACTGCTGCCCGTCCCTCAAAATCCTAAAGTCAGCTTTATTCTCATGAGCTGGGGTCTCCAGCTTTTAGATTTCCACTACCTTGTCCTTCCTGTGGCTGCTTTTGATGCTAACAGCTCTCACTCTGGTCCTTTTGCAGGTGAGAGAGGCAACATCCAACGACCCATGGGGCCCCTCCAGCTCTCAGATGGCTGACATCTCTGACTTGACCTACAATGTGGTGGCCTGCAACGAGATCATGACAATGCTCTGGAAACGGCTGAAAGATGACAGGAACTGGAGACACATACATAAGGTGAAGGGTAGAAGGAGTAGCAGTAACACTGAAAAAATAGTGTCCACACAAGGATTTTTCCGCAAACCGGTGGCTTTTTAAAAAATTGTTCCCAATGAGGATAGGGTATATCTGTGAAACTACAGAAAAAGCGATGCACCCAGCATCTTTTTTCACAGCGCTCTGCTTTTTTGCTCAGCCGCTTCTAGTTAAAAATCTCTGAACTTTTCAGAAAGGCACCATAACTTTCACTGCTTGTTTCGAGCAGGACTCTGGAGGAGAAGCTTGTTCTGGCTGTCGGTCACATATCACAATAAACCTTGATGCAAACCCATAGTGCAATGGTGGTCTAAGTAGGGAAATGATATCAGTGGTTTTTGTCACACTTTTAATCACTGTGATCTCATTTTTCACAGCAGCATAAAGTCCTGCACATCTATGGAAAAGGCATGACCATGTCTATCAAAAGAGAGAACTCAAAAATATTTTGGTGCAGCAAAACGATTATAGGGCTGTAAGGTGGCACAGTTGGTAGCACTGTTGCCTCGCAGCAAGAAGGTTGCCGGTTCGCATCCCGGTGGGGGCACCGGAATCTTTCTGCGTGGAGTTTGCATGTTCTTCCTGTGCAGCGTGGGTTCTCTCCGGGTTCTCCGGCTTCCTCCCACACAGTCCAACAACATGTTGAGGTTAATTGGTGATTCTAAATTGTCCGTAGGTGGTTGTCTGTCTCTAAGTGTGGCCCTGCAATAGACTGGCGACCTGTCCAGGGTGTCCCCTGCCTTCGCCCTAAGTCGGCTGGGATAGGCTCCAGCCCCCCCCGCGACCCTAATGAGGATTAAGCGGTGTATAGATAATGGATGGATGGAAAATGATTATACCTTTAAAAATAAAGTAGTTAATAAAAAAGTATTTATTTTACAAAAATGTAATAATTTTTGTCCTTTCACTGTTGTTGTTTTGTCCCTTGTCTATGTCAAAGGTTGAAATCACAAGGCATAATTGCACCAGTTTTTCTGAAAACTATACAAACTGACAGTTTGTTTAGTCCAACTGTATATATTTTTCTCTTTCATAAATTTATGTGGTCATGTTTTTAATCCTAGTCCCTGACACTGCTGGAGTACCTATTAAAGACCGGTGATGATCGTGTGCTTCTGAAAATGAAAGATAACATCTACATCGTCAAAGCCCTCACAGAGTACCGCTTCGTAGAAAAGGATGGCAAAGATCAGGTGATACATGATGTTTCACGATGATGTCTAAAGGTTGCATCATTTTAGCTTCCATTAAATGGTTGTATGCTATGCATTAAGGTTATCCATTACTGGCAATATGATATTCATGCTACTTTACCTCCAGGCCAGGTTCACAACAACAATGAAAACAGGCAGTCTGGATTTGTTGTCTTTGAGTTTTGTTTCAAGAATGAGTTTCTCAAGTTGAGGTAGAATTTTACCTTAATAGTCAAAGCCAAATCAAAGTCTGATGTAGCTGTATCTGTTTTAGGGTTCGAATGTGAGAGAAAAGGCCAAGGTCGTCCTTGTTCTTATGGAGGATGATGACAAACTGAAGGAAGAGAGAGATTTTGCTGTCAAAACCAGAGAAAAGACATCAAAAAGTTCTGCGGGTGAGATCTTCTGTCCTAAAGTATCACTTGGAAATACCCATTGTTTTACTCGTTTTTGTTTAGTTGCTTTTTCATGTTTGTCTCTCTCATGGCTATTTTTGAATCCCTTTTTCATTCCTTCTAATCAGCCTCATCTGCGGACAGCGTCAAGGATCCCAGTTACAAGCCGTGCTATGTTCCCGGGGCAACAGGTCTTCCATCCTTGGACAACATACCTTCTGTGGCGGACTTGACTGCTTCCTTCGCTGCGAAGAAAGAAGAGCGACTTAAACAGGAAGCTGACAAAAAAGAAACTGAGAGAAGGGTGAGTGCCAGCATTGATATTGAACAGCTATAGCAAGTGGCCATAGTAGCATCAACACCACACCAATATAAGCCTATCAGGTACCACAACACTGCAAAAGGGTGCCTCAGAAATAATGTCAATGAAAAAATAGGATAATGTGATGTTAAAAAAAAAAAAAAAAAGTAGACATATTCGAGCTCCCTATCTAACATAGCAAAGTTTATCAAACCAAATTAAGCTACAGTTGCTTAACTGTTGCACTATAGCATGGTTGATTACTTGACTTAAATCAGTTCAATCTCACATGTAAACAAGATCAATTTTGTTAGACCAGGTAAGAACCACTTAACAAGTGCTTGTGTTCACTAGTTTGCACTTTTTATATCCTAGGCCAAGTTGAGCGAAGATGAGCTGAAATGGGAAGATGCAGGCAAAGGCAATGATGTTGCTGGTGCTTGGGGAGGAGATAAAGCAGAGGAGGAAGAAAAAACAGATGCATGGGGGGCACCAAAAGAACCTAAAGAGGCCGCAGGTCCATGGGGCGCACCCACAAGCCCCAATACAACTGAAACAGCAGCCAGCAGTGATCCATGGGGGGCTCCAGCTGAAACTGATGAAGATCCATTTGCAGCAAAACAAACTGATGAAGATCAGTTTTCACCACCAAAGAATGGAGAAGATCCTTTTGCGGAACCTGATCCTTTTAGTGCATCGAAAGATGACCCCTTCAATGCCCCAAAGGACAGTTCAGACCCATTCAATGCCCCCAAAGACAGAGAGGATCCTTTTGCTGCTCCAAAAGATAAACCAGATCCATTCAGTTCTTCTAATAGCGATCCATTTAATGCACCCAAAGATGATCCATTTAATGCTCCGAAAGATGATCCATTTAACGCTCCGAAAGATGATCCGTTTAATGCTCCAAAAGATGATCCATTTAATACTCCGAAAGATGACCCATTTAATGCTCCGAAAGATGATCCATTTCATGCTCCAAAAGATGATCCATTTAATGCTCCGAAAGATGATCCCTTCAATGCTCCAAAAGATGATCGTTTCAAAACCTCAAATGACGACCCATTTAATACCCCAAAAGACGATCCTTTCAGTACACCTAAAGATGACCCATTCAGTACCACAAAAGATGACCCCTTCACTGCTCCTACAACGCCACCTAAAGAAGATCCTTTCTCAGCGCCAACCAAACCTACACAAGACGACCCTTTTGCTGCACCAACAACACCCCCGAAAGATGATCCTTTTTCTACACCATCCAAACCTACACAAGATGATCCTTTTGCTGCCCCAACAACACCCCCTAAAGAAGATCCTTTCTCTGCACCTACCAAACCTTCACAAGGTGACCCTTTTGCTGCACCAACAACACCCCCAAAAGAAGATCCTTTCTCTGCACCAACCAAACCTTCACAAGAAGACCCTTTTGTTGCACCAACATCACCCCCTAAAGAAGATCCTTTCTCGACACCACCCAAACCTACAAACGATGACCCCTTTGCTGCACCAGCAACACCCCCTAAAGAGGACCCATTCACAGTGCCATCCAGTCCACCAAAAGATGATGCCTCAGATCCCTTCAATGCCCCACTAGTGAGCTCACCTCAAGGTGGGGCAGATACATGGGGGGCAACGGCAAGTTCTCCACCTGGCACTGGGTCAGATCCCTGGGGGTCAGCATCTGCTCCAAATGAGACAAAGGGTGGAGATCCCTGGGGGAATGGGGCAAGTGCCTCCTCACCTCTTGACAATGCTGATCCATTTGGGGATACATCCAAAACAGACAATGACCCATGGGGAGCCCCAGGTAAGAAACACACCAACGGCCATAGATGGTCATTATTGAAACTTGAAAATAGATTTATATGAGGAATGTCCTGATCAAGTTTCTCTTTGTTCCAAATCCAAGTCATTTAGTATTCACAATCTGCCAATACCTGAAACCATAATAAGCACTTCAAATGTTGTAGATTAGCTGTACTACCTGTTTGCACCACCAGGTAGAGCATTTTACTGTTTCATATTGTAGGGACCTGAGGAGGCAGGCACTTCCATGTTGGCAAGAATTTTGGGAGTTTAACTGGTAAAGTAGCACCATGACAGAGACTTTTATTAGACTTAATGATCTCACCCAGCGACCAAAATGTACTTAACCTGTACTTTAACAAAGATAGTCCACCGACATACCAGTGGACCATCTTATGGCAAATTGTGGGGAGTTTTGTTCATATATCTGCAAGACTACAACTGCAGTCCAAGATTTTGGTATGGTTTTGTGTTGTTAACAATCACTTCAAATTTCCCTTGACAGTCTTGATCTTACAACTGGTCTTGGGACATTCCTAACTTTGACAATAAAACATTCTAAACTCAAGGTTCACTTAGGAGCTCTTTCCAGAGCCTGCCTAAACAGGAATATGATCATGTGATGGCACATGGTCATACAGTAAATTGGGGTCATAATCTCTGTGACACCAGAATCTTCACAAGTTAGAGTGGGAATTGGTGTCCTGACTAGGCTGTCGGATCATAGAGCAAGAGTCTTGATCGTACAAGTAGCCAACAACTACCTCAAACCATTTAGCATCACTTGCAGCTGGTAGCTGTTGTTTAGGAGATAGAGTTGGATGTCAACAAATTGCAAGGTTGGTTACCAGTTCTTGTTCCATCAATGTGTGTGAATGGGTGAATGATAGGATTTCTATTTACAGATAAAGTTTGTTTAATATGGTCAAAAGTTCAGAAATGAACCTCATGTTCAGAATATATCATCAGTGAAATAAGCCATTAGATGAAAATGTTGTCACTTACTGTACAGTTCTGTTGCCTCCCATTTAAGCCTGATTTATTTACCCACTTAGCTTCAGCTCCAGCCAACACAGATGATGCGTGGGGTACACCTGCTCCACCCTCAGACTCCTCCCCATCCAGTGACCCCTTTGGAGATGGAGCATCTAAAACCAGTGATCCCTGGGGTGCACCAAGCAGCACAAGCGGCAATGGCACAGGTAAGTCACATGAAATGCTCTGAGTACATGTTCCTTGTTTCATCCATTAAGAGCAAACCCTCATCGTCTACTTCGTACGTAGCAATACAATCCTCTGTTCTGATTAAATCAACTAAATATTTGTTGTAAAATGTGTGTTCTAAAATGTATGTTTGTTTTTAACCAATAGGAGTCTAAGCCTGCTGGCTTAGTGCTCAGCTGGACATGGTGACTCTGAAAACTAAACTGTGTGCCTGTAGCTGTGTTTCTGTGCATTTTTGTGTGATTATACGCTTTTCTTGTCTCCATGAAAGGTCAGTTGCATGTCTGACCATTTTCCTCCATTTCCCCTCCATTTTCCCAGCATTGAGCTGCTGCCTAACAGTCTTAATCAATTAACCTTCTCTTCCGCTTTGCTCTCTCTTCCTCCCTGACCTGTCCCCAAAAGAAAACACCTTTTAGAGTAGAACTGGACCTTTATTTTATTGCAGGAAAGCGAACAGTGCAAGAAGAGGAGATGTACAGAAAGACTGCTTTGTTCTTGGGTTCAGCGGGGGCGTCGCTGGTTGACTTGGACGATCTGTTTTCCTCTAACCCCAAACCCAGACAGCGCCCCCTCATCAACACGCTCGCCCCACAAACACAAGCCATCGGTAAGGACGGAAAAAATGCTTCACTCTGGGTGACAAAGAACATTTTTGACAAAGGCTACACATGGAATTATTTGTGGTGTGCGTGACTCAAATGGATGCATGTACAACCTCGAAGACTGAAAAATCACTGAGATGCTAAACATTAGTCACTTGGTGGTGATATTTCATATGCATTCCACTGCTGATCGGCAGAAGTCTGCAGTTTAGGGACAAACAGACCGAGAGAGAGGGGTGGAGACTGTGTGACTGACAAATATATATCAATCGATTTGTATGGAAAAGCTTACTGTGATCATGTGTCTTGCCATTCCTCCCCTGTGGTCTCGCTGTAGTGTATAGATGTTGTTATGTATGTGCGTGTGCGAGCATTAGTGACCTATTGAAGTTACTCTGTGTAGAGATTAGTGTATATTAACCAGCAGATGTATAACTCTTCTCACCCCTCTCTCTGCTCTGCTTTGGTGCATTTTCTCTTTACTGGAATGCTTCGAACTGTGCATCCCTCCCTTACTCCTCCCCCTCATCTCTCCATCCTCCTGTCACTCTTCCTCGTTTCCCAGGCGCTTTCAAAGCAAGGGGTGTCGCATCTGGCCCTATGGTAAGATCAGCTGCTTTTGCTGAAACATCAGCCCCACACTACAATCTTTTTGGTTCCACTCTAGCGTCCTCCCATGGTGCATCCTATCCCACTTTTGGAGCTGCCAGTGAAGCGCCCCTTTTTCAGCTACCGTCACATACTCTGGGAGTGTCTCATTCTGCTGTCAATATGCTTCAGGCAGCTCAGGTGGCTCCAGAAACTGGGATGGTGCAACCCATTTCTGTCAGAGGGAGTCCACAAATGGGACTTAACATGATCTCCCCCTGTGGAGGAGGGGCAGTGGTGCAACCTGGATATCCAGGGTCGCTCTTGCTGGGAACAGGAATGGCTCAGTCTAGTTTATTTGGAGGGAGTCACTCAGCAGCAGTGGGTGACTTTAGAGGTTCCACTCCACAGACTGGAGGTGGAGTCTTCTCAGGCAGCAACTCGGAGGAGACGGTGAACAAAAACGCCAATCCTTTCCTGTTCTGACATCTAGAAATATAATGTTTCTTTCGTAAATTCAAACTGAAATTTCATTTGGATTTTGGGGGAGGATAATTAAAGCAAAAGAACCTCTATTACATGTATTTCATGAGGCAAGCACATAGGAGAGGGACAAGCGAATCCAAACAATTTAAGCAGACTCCCGCACACTGTTTGACTTGCAAAGATACATTTATTAGTGCAATGTTTTGATGCTAGACCTTCATCTGAAAATAGTGCCTGGTGTAGGTATGTATCTTTGCAAGTTAGACAAGATAATTAAAGCACCACACAGGGAAATTATACATTTTTTAGCCCTCTTGTGCAGTGTATGAATGATAGTCATCCAACTATTTACAAAACAGCAATAACGTTTAAAGATTACTTTCCACTGTAGCTCACAGGTAGCCACTGGTTTCTGTTTGTCATGTCATTAAACCCGTGGGAAGAGGCTTGCAAGGCACACCTTTATTTGATTTTGTTGTTTGATTTAGTTTCACAGTCACACCATTTTAAAAAGTAAGCTGAATTTGTCTTTTTTTTTTTCTTCAGTTAAAGTTTTCTTTAATGCACCAAGAAGTGAGCATTTCTCAAATTGCAGTTATTAATTTGCAAGATTATCTGCTTGAAATTGTATGTACATGCAACAGGGCTACTTTGCTTTTCACAGTAAAGTAGTCTAAGTATTGGCATGTTGAACTCAAATCAGTGGCTGCCTGGAAAGTCAATTACAACTTTTAAAAATGTGATAAACTTTAGACGACAGGCAGTGTTACTTGCATGCAACGTTAAGGGCCAAAACATGCAAAAACCACTTGATGATCCTCTAAACCCTTCGGCTCCTCAGCTTACACTTATCGCCCCTCACGCCCTTGAAATGCAGACACATCTATCTAGTAAATGCCCATAAATAAATGTATACAGCTTAATATATATTAACAGATATACACACAAAATATGCGCAAAACTGTCTACTTCTCATTTGAAACCAATTTGTGGGAATTTTGTTTTTGTGCAAAAGTCTGAGAAACAGAGAGTACCTAAGTGTGAGTGTCTGTGTTGAAATCCTGAGGAATTGCTGTGTATTTGAGTGTTGTGTGAAGAAACACTGACTGGTAAACACGTCATGGTAGGTTTTCATTAGGTGTGCATGTGTTTGTACAAGACGGACAGTATGTGCGACCTGTGTGCACACAGTGAGTGTGCAGTATATATATATTGTGCTGATGTAAATAGTGGAAGTACTTACAGATAAACCTTGAAATCTACTGTATATCAGAGTGTTACAATCACAAGTAACTATTTATTGATCTATTTATTGATTGATTTATTTATTGCTTGATTAAATATTGGCCTCCGACACAGACAAATTCAGGTTAACTTTCATTTTGGTGTTGCTATCGGACAGGTCGGCCTGATAGCATCAATCGCATGTGATGTCAAAGGTGATTAATCTGATTCAAAAAATGGCTTCATGAATCAATTCTGTAACCAATGGTGGCTTTATCTTCCCTGTTTAGGTTTGTAGTCATGGATTCATTGTGGAATTGTCTTCTCTGTATGTCCCGGAATTAGACAGGAAACACAGATGTATTATTGTATTATGTTTAGCTGCAGCGTTGGCTAAATAAAAACCGAATTTGAACATATCAACTTCTTTTATGCGCATGCTGTCTGAGCGGATCTTGTGTGTGTGTGTGTGTGTAGCTGCCCCTCATTTATTTGGTGTGCGATTAAGGAAATATTGCAACATACACTTGTATGAAAGGTAAACTAAAGGCTGCACCTTCCTTTTCACTTATTGTAGCTCTGCAGAGACAGCTGCTGCAACATTTTGACAGGAGCAGGATTAATGGTAGTTTATGAGTCATGAAAACATCAGTAAATCAAAGCCACGCTAAAAGCAGCCAAGACTGATGACTTTTAACAAGTCACTTATTTTGAATTGGTAGATTTGGGTATTTTCAGTTAAATGTGAACGTGGGTAAAGAAAATGAACTGGAAATAAGTAGAAAGTTTAGCTTCAAGGGATTACAAAAAAAAAAAAAGGATCAGAATGACTATTGTTATTTCCCAGATTTAATTTTGTATGAAATCAATTTATTTTGCTGTGTATTTAAATTTAAGGCTGTGTTGTAAACTGTGACAGTATACAGTACATTTGAGAAATAAAATGATACACAAAGCGACTGTCTATTCAGCACTTTGTCTCATTTTACATGCACATTATTTTTTTAAACATCTGGCTTTTTTTTTAAAGTGAATTGCATCTTGTTCATTGCCGTTTCCTGTGAGCCCAACTTCATTTTCCAACCAGTTACAACTTGCTTACTTTCACCACAAGAGGGCCATAAAACCTCACAAATTTAGACACAATGCAACTGTTGCTCTGTGAAACACTTCAATATGTCCTCTAATTCGCATCTTAAATGGAAAATACATTTCAAAAATATGGCCACACCCATAACAAACATCCTTCTAATGGGTTATTGATTTCTTTGTGCATTACAGTCCACATCCACTCAGAAATGTTTGACACTAAATAGCTATTATTCAACTATTTTCTAAAGGAAACAAGTTGTCTCTGCACCCTCAGTGGTAGATGGAAATCAGGGGTCTCGAACTCCGGTCCTCGAGGGCTGCAATCCTGCATGTTTTAGATGTTTCCCTCTTCCAACACACCTGATTCAAATGATCAGGATCGTTATCAGGCTTCTGCAGAGCTTGATGATGAGCTGATCATTTGAATCAGGTGTGTTGGAAGAAGGAAACATCTAAAACATGCAGGATTGCGGCCCTCGAGGACCGGAGTTCGAGACCCCTGATGTAAATGTATGAGCAGAATCTGAGACTTTGAAGCTAGTTTGAAACCTTTAAGATGAAGTTTAAGACATCTAATATCCTGACATTTCCATATTTATGAATATTGAGAGGAAAATGTGCCTCAGAATTTGTTATCAGGTAATGAAGCTGCAAACTATTAAAAGCAGAATTGTATTTATGTTGACATATATCTGACGGGAATCTTTAACTCTGTTTATTTGATTCACCATTCTTTAACCCATTGAAAGATTCCCTCCAAGTAACTTGGAAGTGTAAGGCCTGTTGAGTCATTTCAGGCCATTGCAGACATTTGCTGAGGGAAGGACAAAATATAGGATTGACAGTTGAGCCGGATCTGAGTCTGTCCATTCATGGTGAGAGGGCTTAGTGTCTAAAAACAGAAGGGGGCAGATCAGGGAATTTGTCATTTGCTCAGCATGTGTTACATTAGGACACGATGAGTCCTTGTGCTGCCCTTTTTTTTTTCTTTTTTTTAAATGCAAGTCAGGTTAAACAATTTACGGTCGTATACTTTCAAAATAATTACAGCTATAAATACCTTTTCTTCTTTCTTTTTTTTTCCCTACTGACCGCACACCATTTAAGTAATTAAAGCTTTTTAGCTTGCACTAGATCAAAATGTGCGATAAAACATGGAGGACAAGAACGACCATGGCAGCTGACTTGGAGGGTTGCCTCAGGTAGAATTTACAACTCTTCAATTTCTGCACACTTTATCACGTTCTGAATTTCGTCTAAATAAGTAAAGTCAGACCTTCAGTAACCCATAATCACCAAGTTAAAAGCAGGTCTTTAGATGTTTTTGTGAATGTATTAAAAGTTAAAAACAAATCGCTTATTTGCGAAAGTAGTCCCATTTTGCTTTAATAATCCTTCTAATGTGTCTTGAACTTGACTTGAGTTCACTAGGGGTTAGTTGAATTAACTAGAAACAACAAAAACTGATCCTTGAAGTCCAAGAACTCTCTGCAGACATCATCGATGAAATTGTGGTTAGGCACTTTAGAAGTTCTCTGAAGAGAAGAACAACCTGCCATCTCAAAAGCACTACATGAAGCTGAATGAGCCACTCTGAGAGCACAAAGAAAGAGGTAGTCTGAGGTGACAGAAACTACTATTTGGGTAAAACTCTGGAGAAAACCAAGCACTGCTCATCAAGCATGGTGGTGGCATCGTCATGCTATGGGATGCTGAGGTCTAAAACTGGGATGATGGTTGAGCTTTCAGTACCACAGTGACCCCAAACAAACCACCAAGACAACAGTGGAGTGGCTTCAGGACACATCTCTGACTGTCCCTGAGTGACCCAACTGAAGCTTAAACCCCTCAGAGCACCTGTGGGAAGACCTGAAGACTGCAGTTCACACACACTTCCCATCTGATCTGATGAAGCCTGAGAGGATCTGTCAGAAGGAATAGGATAAACTGCAGAGATCCAGGTGTACTTAGCCTGCAACAACTGACCCTATATGACTCCAAGGCTTCTGGAGATCTGAATACTTTTGTAAATGAGAGATTTCAGCTTTCGGTTTTG